TAATGATGCTGTCACCTTGAAGAACTTCATTGAAAAAGATCGAGTTTATGATTTTTTGGTAGGATTGAATCTTGAATTTGATCAGGCTAGAGTTCAAATTCTTGGAAAGTCAGACGCACCAACTCTAGAAGAAACTATCTCATTAATTCGAGCAAAAGAAAGTCGAAGAAGTGTTATGCTTGAACCACACACCACGAATGGGTCAGCCCTGGTAGCAAACCATTAGGAGAAAAGAATCAATGATCTGTTCAAATACTCGGGTAAAGGAAAAGAGTGGAAAGAAAACAAGGACGACCTTTGGGGCACCTATTGCAATAAACCGAGATATGAAAGGGATAAATGTTGGAACTTAAATGGTAAACCTCCAAGCCAAGAATGGAGAAACCATGAGAGGTAGTAGAGACCGCAAGCACACATGGTGGAGCAGCCAAAAATAGAGGAATATCTCAAAGTAGGAGGATTTAACAGTGAAAAAATTGAACGGTAAGAAGCTTATTGGAGTCTCTTGAATAGCCTTCTGGAACCTGCTCTTTGGCCTTTTCAAGTAACCTTTCATTTTCTTTTTACAACAATGTCTCAAACAAATGTTATGACAATTCTTGGATCATTGACTCATGTGCCACAAACCATATGACCCCCACTCCTCAATTCTTTCAAAACTATACCCCATGTCTAAGTAATAGAAAAATTGTAGCTGCCAAAGGCTCTCTAGCCACTGTTGCAGGGTTTGGAGATATACATATCACACCTAACCTTGTTCTCAAACTTGTCCTTCATGTACTAAAACTGTCAACCAGCCTTGTGTCCATTCAAAAGCTTACTCAAGATCTTAAGTGTTACGCTGTGTTTTCTCCTTCTTATTGTGTTTTTCAAGATCAGGGAATGGGGAGGAGGATGGAACTTGTTAAGAAGAGGAGTGGCCTCTATCACCTTGAAACACTTCAGAAAGAAAGGAGTTATTTGCCTTTGCCTTCATCTTTTCTAAGTTTCGAAAATAAAGATAACATTTGGTTGTATCACTTACGTCTTGGTCATCTATCATTTAAAGTTTTAAAAATCATGTTTCCTTAGTTGTTCCAAGGATTAGATATCTTTGAGTTTCATTGTAGTATTTGTGAATTAGCAAAACACACTCGTGTATCTTTTCCTATCAACAAGAAAAGAAGTTCTCATCCTTTTCATTTGATTCATAGTGATTTATGGGGTCTTTCCACTGTAGCTAATGTCTTTGGGGCTCGTTGGTTCATAACCTTAATTGATGATTGTACTCAGGTTACATGGCTCTTCCTCTTTAAACAAAAATCTGAAATCAGCATTTTTATACCTACATTCCACTCAATGATTCAAAATCAATTCGACGTAAAAATAAAAAAGATTTAGGATGGACAGTGCTCGAGACTACTTCAACCAAACTCTATAACATTATTTCCAAACACAAGGTATTATCCATGATTCTTCATGTGTCAACACAACCCAGGAAAATGGGGTAGCTGAAAGGAAAAATAGATACTTACTCAAAACTACCTAAGCTTTACTCTTTCAAGGAAATGTTCCTAAATTCTACTGGGGGGAGGCTATTCTTACTGCCACGTTTGTCACAAATAGGCTTCCTTTGACTGTGTTAGATAAAAAAAAGCTCCATGGAGGTACTTAATAAATTTTATCCCCATTTCCGAACCTCTAATGGTGCCTTTGTTCATGTCACAACCAACATAGAGGCAAACTAGACCCTCGAGCCATTAAATTTGTCTTCCTTGGTTACTCATCCACTCAAAAGGGGTGCAAGTGTTACAATCCCTCATCTAGAAAATTTTACATTTTGCAGATGATACCTTTACTGAAAAAACACCATTTTTTTCCAAGTCTTCCCTTCAAGGGGAGATATCAATGATGGAAAGGAGTACTTGTGAGTCCTTCGAACCAATTAAACATCTTGACTTACCTCAAGTCTCAGATGCTCTAGTTCGTGTCGAAACCGAAGAAACTACATACAAGTCATCGAATCCTGTCACTGAACTCAAGTTTCCTCCTATCCCAGCCAGTGTCAATCATGGTCTTCCAAGTATTACTCAGGTGTATTCAACGAGAAAGGCCCTTCCAAAATCATCACAAGTCAAAGAATCCATCTCAGACTTTGATAATGAGATCACGGTAAGATCTGGCTTACCTTTACATACACAAAATGTTGAAACATCCATTGATTCCATAGATGACCTGGATTTCCCTGTTGCTATTAGAAAAAATATCAGAGAATGCACCAAACAACTACTCTACCCACTATCTCACTATGTTTCACTTAAAAACCTATCACCAACCCACAAAAGGTTCATAGTGAGTTTAAACACCATTGTTATTCCTAACATTGTTTCTGAGGCATTGTCAAAAAGGGAAAGAGGAAATGAATGCATTAGAAAGGAATAGAACATGGGAGATTGTTGATAAACCAAAAGGAAAAAACATTGTTGATTGCAAATAGATTTTCACATGCTAGAGTTCAAATCCTTGGAAAGTCAGACACACCAACTCTAGAAGAAACTATCTCATTAATTCGAGCAAAAGAAAGTCGAAGAAGTGTTATGCTTGAACCACACACCACGAATGGGTCAGCCCTGGTAGCAAACCATTAGGAGAAAAGAATCAATGATCTGTTCAAATACTCGGGTAAAGGAAAAGAGTGGAAAGAAAACAAGGACGACCTTTGGGGCACCTATTGCAATAAACCGAGATATGAAAGGGATAAATGTTGGAACTTAAATGGTAAACCTCCAAGCCAAGAATGGAGAAACCATGAGAGGTAGTAGAGACCGCAAGCACACATGGTGGAGCAGCCAAAAATAGAGGAATATCTCAAAGTAGGAGGATTTAACAGTGAAAAAATTGAACGGTAAGAAGCTTATTGGAGTCTCTTGAAAAGCCTTCTGGAACCTGCTCTTTGGCCTTTTCAAGTAACCTTTCATTTTCTTTTTACAACAATGCCTCAAACAAATGTTATGACAATTCTTGGATCATTGACTCATGTGCCACAAACCATATGACCCCCACTCCTCAATTCTTTCAAAACTATACCCCATGTCTAAGTAATAGAAAAATTGTAGCTGCCAAAGGCTCTCTAGCCACTGTTGCAGGGTTTGGAGATATACATATCACACCTAACCTTGTTCTCAAACTTGTCCTTCATGTACTAAAACTGTCAACCAGCCTTGTGTCCATTCAAAAGCTTACTCAAGATCTTAAGTGTTACGCTGTGTTTTCTCCTTCTTATTGTGTTTTTCAAGATCAGGGAATGGGGAGGAGGATGGAACTTGTTAAGAAGAGGAGTGGCCTCTATCACCTTGAAACACTTCAGAAAGAAAGGAGTTATTTGCCTTTGCCTTCATCTTTTCTAAGTTTCGAAAATAAAGATAACATTTGGTTGTATCACTTACGTCTTGGTCATCTATCATTTAAAGTTTTAAAAATCATGTTTCCTTAGTTGTTCCAAGGATTAGATATCTTTGAGTTTCATTGTAGTATTTGTGAATTAGCAAAACACACTCGTGTATCTTTTCCTATCAACAAGAAAAGAAGTTCTCATCCTTTTCATTTGATTCATAGTGATTTATGGGGTCTTTCCACTGTAGCTAATGTCTTTGGGGCTCGTTGGTTCATAACCTTAATTGATGATTGTACTCAGGTTACATGGCTCTTCCTCTTTAAACAAAAATCTGAAATCAGCATTTTTATACCTACATTCCACTCAATGATTCAAAATCAATTCGACGTAAAAATAAAAAAGATTTAGGATGGACAGTGCTCGAGACTACTTCAACCAAACTCTATAACATTATTTCCAAACACAAGGTATTATCCATGATTCTTCATGTGTCAACACAACCCAGGAAAATGGGGTAGCTGAAAGGAAAAATAGATACTTACTCAAAACTACCTAAGCTTTACTCTTTCAAGGAAATGTTCCTAAATTCTACTGGGGGGAGGCTATTCTTACTGCCACGTTTGTCACAAATAGGCTTCCTTTGACTGTGTTAGATAAAAAAAAGCTCCATGGAGGTACTTAATAAATTTTATCCCCATTTCCGAACCTCTAATGGTGCCTTTGTTCATGTCACAACCAACATAGAGGCAAACTAGACCCTCGAGCCATTAAATTTGTCTTCCTTGGTTACTCATCCACTCAAAAGGGGTGCAAGTGTTACAATCCCTCATCTAGAAAATTTTACATTTTGCAGATGATACCTTTACTGAAAAAACACCATTTTTTTCCAAGTCTTCCCTTCAAGGGGAGATATCAATGATGGAAAGGAGTACTTGTGAGTCCTTCGAACCAATTAAACATCTTGACTTACCTCAAGTCTCAGATGCTCTAGTTCGTGTCGAAACCGAAGAAACTACATACAAGTCATCGAATCCTGTCACTGAACTCAAGTTTCCTCCTATCCCAGCCAGTGTCAATCATGGTCTTCCAAGTATTACTCAGGTGTATTCAACGAGAAAGGCCCTTCCAAAATCATCACAAGTCAAAGAATCCATCTCAGACTTTGATAATGAGATCACGGTAAGATCTGGCTTACCTTTACATACACAAAATGTTGAAACATCCATTGATTCCATAGATGACCTGGATTTCCCTGTTGCTATTAGAAAAAATATCAGAGAATGCACCAAACAACTACTCTACCCACTATCTCACTATGTTTCACTTAAAAACCTATCACCAACCCACAAAAGGTTCATAGTGAGTTTAAACACCATTGTTATTCCTAACATTGTTTCTGAGGCATTGTCAAAAAGGGAAAGAGGAAATGAATGCATTAGAAAGGAATAGAACATGGGAGATTGTTGATAAACCAAAAGGAAAAAACATTGTTGATTGCAAATAGATTTTCACATTGAAATACAAAGCTAATGGTTCCCTTGAAAGATATAAGGCGCGATTGGTGGCTATAAGGTACACTCAGATGTATGGGATTGATTATTAGGAGACTTTTGCACTAGTTGTAAAAATGAATAAAGTAAGAATTTTATTATCATTGGCTACTCACTATAATTGGGAACTTTTTCATTATGATGTTAAGAATGCATTTCTTCATGATGATCTTTATGAAGAAATCTTCATGAACATTCCATCGAGATTAGAGGGGAACACAGTTAGCAAGGTATGCAAGATTAGGAAGGCTCTTTATGGGTTATAACAATCTCCTAGAGCATGGTTTGGAAGACTTTCAATAGTTATGAAGGACTCACAATATAAACAAAGTCAAGGTGACCACACTCTGTTCATCAAGCATTTGTCCACAGAGGGAGTAAGTGCACATTTAGTCTATGTGGACGACATTATAGTGACTGGAAACGATGAAAGAGAAAAACACGAATTGAAGCAAAAGACTAGAAAAGGAATTTGGAATAAAGAAATTGGGAAAATTAAAGTACTTCCTTAGCATTGAAGTGGCATAATCTAGACAAGGAATCTTCATAGCTCAACAAAAGTATGTAACTGATTTGTTGACAGAAACCAGGAAGATTGGGTATAAACTAGTGTCTACAACAATGGATCCAAATCATAAATTGGGAAAACCTAAAATGGAACTAGTTGTTGATAAACGAATATACCAAAGGTTCGTTGGTAGACTAATATACCTTGCTCATATTCGGCCAGATATAGTTTACTTCGTGAGCGTGATCAGTCAATTCATGCATGATCCTAGGGAACCTCATCTTCAAGTAGCATATAGGGTACTACATTACTTAAAAGGCTGCATGGGAAAAGGAATTTTGTTCAAAAGGAACGATAATCTAACTTTGGAGGCATATATCGAAGTCGACTATACAGGTTCCCTAGTAGATAGGAGATCAACTACAAGGTATTACACTCTTCTTGGAGGTAATCTAGTAACATGGAAAAGTAAGAAATAGAATCTGGTGGCAAGATCATCTGCAGAGTCAGAACTCGGGGCTATTGCTCAAGGATTGTGCGGACTACTTTGGCTAAAGATCATCCTAGATGATTTGAAAATCAAATTGGAAGGTCTATTGTGATAACAAGTCAACTATCAATATCGCTCATAATCCTATACAACACGATAGGATAAAGCATATTGAAATTGATAGGCACTTTATTAAAGAAAAATTGGATGAAGGATTGGTGTGTATGTCCTATGTTCCTTCAGGAAGACAATTAGCTGATGTTCTAACAAAATGGCTTAAGGGTTCAAGTTTTCAAGATCTTGTATTCAAGCTGGGAATGAAAGACATCTATTCCTCAACTTGAGGGAGAGTGTCAAGTAAAAAAAGAAGAAGCTATAAATAGATTAGGAAAAGAATTTGTTTTTGAAATCCCTTAATTGAAGGGATTCAATTATCTACCTATTCCTTTATCATAGTGATTTGGAGAATATTCTTCCCAGATTTTAGGCTAATTTAGTTTCCTATTTTTCCTCTTGTAAATTGCTATATATTGCTGTAAATTATTAATGAAAAGTAACAATTTTCCTTCCCACATTTCTAAGAATCTTCATTAGGTTGACCCTTCATGGCCATACATTCTACTATAGAGCCACAATTGGTTTCTCAACATAAAGTATCTTCATGCTTCACGACTCCCAAGAAAATCTTTCATACATGATCTCTTGAAGATTGATTGACGTTACCTCTATAGCAGTCGCAACGGTTGACTTTGTCAATTTANGAAATTCGACAGCGCCTCTCTCAATTATTGTGAACTCGCCATATTCATCTTCCTGTGATTTTAACAATTAAATCTATAAAGAGTTCAACAAAGAGAGACACTAAAGGCACATAAGATTGGATTACATTATTTTATAAGAGCTAAAATTGAACACGTCATTAATTGAATTAATGTAGATTTGTAAATATTAAAAGATTTAATTATAATATGGAACCCAAGAACCGAATAGAACCAAATCGAATCGAACTAAACCGAACCTAAACGATAGTGACACTTGATCGGTTGTCATTGAGCATTCCTAGTCACCTGTGAAGAAAGGTCAAATGGCAAGGCAAGGCGATATACCTGTTTAGCTCCTCCTCGCAGAGTATAGCTCATATCAAACATTTGATTGGGAAACGTGGCAAAGCCCATGAAGCTCTGGTAGAAAGGGAGTGCATAAACCGTTTCACTTACTGAATACCCAAAATTTTAGGGGTCTAATTCGATTCTCTTTAGAATTGAAATGAATCGAACCATGTCCAACCCTAATTTTTCACAAATTAAAATATGAAGTTTCACAAACCACCCTATATTTATTCCATTGGAATTGCCTTAATTATGCAAGCCATAGTCAATTTAATATAAGTATTCTAGAAGTCATTTATCCTAGGGAGTGGTTTGCACACAATGCAACTTTTACTGGTATGAGTTCGCACCTTTTGTGGTCATAAACTTACCAGTGCTACCAAGATGAAGTTAATTGCATAGGGAAAAACATTGAATCCAAATGATTAGCTTTTGTGTTAATTACATAGGGGAAAACATTGTATCCAAATGATTAGCTTTTGCATATCACTTGGAAATTTTGAAATCTGCTACCACTGCCAGGATTAAGCAAATTTCACAACTTATTCCAAAGATATGCCAATTGATGATCTCTTTCAAGTCTTTTCTTCTTTTAGTTGTTCATTTAGAGCAAAGTCGCTCTAGATTTCGACCACACAACCCTGGATTTCCTTCAAAGCATGATTTGTGATATATATCATACTGACCTCCTATAGGAATATGACCTTTAATATTATAGTATGCAACAGTGAATAAAGACTAATGAAGCTTTTTGAGTGATTTAGGTATTTCACCTAAAAGATGGTTTCCAGAGACGTCCAATGTTTTCGAGTTTGTGAGGTTAGATATCATATCATGAATGCTGCCAAAGAACCAATCTCAATTTGGATATGATACCACTAATATTGTTACTCCTGAGGTATTTTGTTGGTCGCAAGTCGGGGAGCTAGTAGTATAGAAGATTCAAGGCATTATGGCCCTCAATAAAGACAGCGAATTCCAGATAAGTTTCGTCACATTTGTTAAGGAATATAATTCCACATTGAATAAAGATGAAAACATAAACCAACTTATAAAGTCTTGGGCTTTTAAGATGGAACCCCAAGTCTTAACATGATATCAGAGCCTATTAAGTTCCAACGAGTAATTTGATCCGATTAAAACTAAAAAATGAATATACGGATTTTAAGATTGGTCTGCTCATATGAGCCACCATCTTACAGGGGCATGTTAAATGATATAATCCTACATCGAATAAAGATGAAACCATAGATCAACTTATAAGGTCTTGGACTACTCCTCTTAACAATGTTGACCTTTTAAGATTCGATCCTAAGTCTTAATATAGTATCAGAGCCGGGTTTATGAACAAGTCTCTGATCCAAAAGTCACAGAGATACTGGTTTGTGTGAGAGGAAGATGAGTTTGGTTTCCCACAGGCTTGTTGTGTATGGGGGAGACGAATTCGGTCTCCTGCAAGGCCCGATGTGTAGAAGGATACATGTTTTGTCGCCCACAAAACCCAATGTGTGAGGGGGATATTGTTGAGGTTGTCCCACATAGGTTGTAGATGGGGTTGGTATTCAATTTATAAATATGAGGAAAAACCTCACCTATTGAGCTAACTTTTGGGGTGATGGAGGCCCAATACCACCCAACAATGGCAAAGCTTGCAATGGAATAATTACTGATCAAGGTAGGGCAATGCAAAATACAATTGAGATTGGTTTTCCAAATATAAAGTATAGATGATGTTTATGGCACATTTTGAAGAAGTTGCTCGAAAAGTTTGGCTACCATGTTCATAAAGACTCCATATTTTTTGCTATATATGACCTAGTATATGATTCAGAGTTTGTTGAAAAATTCGAGCATGGTTGGAGGGTAATTCTCGATATATATGACTTCCATGATAATAATTGGTTGTCGGGGGCTGTATGATAATAGAGGTTGTTGGGTTCCTTATTTTTTGAAGACCACTTTCTATGGAAGGATGTTCACAACACAATGAAGTGAGAGTATGAAACTATTTTTCGATGAATATGTGCATTCAAAGACCTCATTGAAGCAATTTGTTGAATAGTATGAAAGATCACTAAGGAATAAGGTTGAAAAAGAGTTTTAGGCTGATTTCAAGTCATTTTCCCAAATGGTACCATGTGCAACTACTTTCGAAATGGAGAAACAATTTCAATCAGTGTACACCATTTCAAAGTTCAAAGAAGTACAAAATGAGTTCACTGGGAAGGTCTATTGTGATGTCATCTCTGAGAAGGGTGAATGTTTTTGGACGAACTATGAGGTTCGTGAGCACTAGAAGAAAAGAACATTTTGCATCTCACTTCAGAAGAAGGATACTTGTGAATTCACTTGGAGTTGCCACTTGTTCGAGTTTTGAGGAATCATATGTAGGCATGCAATCATAGTCTTGATCCACAATGACATCACGTCAATGTCTGATAGGTATATACTATGAAGATGGTAGAGAGATGTCAAAAGAGCACACATGAGGCTCAAAGTCAATTATGATGACTTAGGAAGTACTCTGGGATAGGTAAGATGTGTCATGCTTTCTTGGAGGTGGCAGACGTCACTGCAGATGACGAAGAGTAGCACGTGCTATAATGGAATGAATAAAATTACAAGTAGGACACATGCGAATGTCAAAATCGAATAGTGGAAGCACTACCATTTCGCAGTATGTTATTCATTCAGCCTCTACTTGTAATAAGTCACAAAATTTTGGAAGCATGAGCATATTGGATCCTAACTCGTCGAAAAGGAAGGGCACGTCGAGGAAACTTCGGAGAAAAGGCCAATTGGAGTTCACTTCAAACAAATTGAAGGTATTGTTGTCCA